CTCCGACTTCTCCCCATTCGCCACCCTCCAGCCGCCATCTGACATCTCTTCTCGACATGACTTCAGTGGCCTGACCCCTTTCGTCGACGGGAACACTGCGACTCTCCGACCCTCTCCGCCCGCCACGCGTCGGCCCGCCCATGACCGGAGCGAGAGCCAGCTTCTGATAAGACCGGTGGTGTTCCCAGAAGTTCCACACAGCTTCACGAAACATCCGCTTTGCGGATTACCGAGGGATATCGGCTGGCGGAATCATCTCCAGCAGGGGGAGTGACGTTTGCGGTCATTGATGCGGCTTGAAGGTGACATAGCGTATTGGGGACGATTCTATTAATGGCAAGAACACTCCTGTCAGTAATTACGTGTCCAGTGCTTGTGTGTGAAGACCAATCGTCGGCTCCCAGAGCGCATCATTGCAAAGGCCATCGGAATCTGAGTGCCGTGAGCGTATAATCTAAATAGCGTAAAGCGTAAATCTGAGCGTATTCAGGCCGGCCTGAATACGCTCACGTTGGGCTGGCATTCTGCGACGATGTGGTGGCATTGATAAGAGTTCATGTAGTGCGGTAGCTGCAAATGAACACTAATGGCATGCCATGATAATACGGCGCACTCACCCGCACACCAGATGGGCCATTGTGCCGGCGTCCAAACGTTGGAGTATTTCATCTCTGCTGCTGCAGGCTCCTGGTGCTCCCTCCCGGCGCTGCAGGAGCCCTTGACGGTCTTGGGACGCCGACGTATGCTCCTATTCTTTCAATCCGACAAGCCGACTGTCACCTCCCCTCTGACCACCGAGCTGCGACGCCTTGCACAACACGGACCGTTGGAAGGAGAGCCCCCGTCGAGGCCCCGTAGGCGGATGCCCCCCTCCCCCTCCCCCCAACTGACTGTACCGATCGGTCCCCGCCCCCGTCACCGCAGCACTGCTGGCTCCAGACGAGCCCAGTGACTACACGCGAGGTCGAGCACCTCTGACCGAAGGCCCGCGGGGAGCCGGGCGGGCAAGGGCCCTGCCGTGGTGTGAGAGGATGGCGGTTGCCTCTGGGACTGGGGAAGAAATTCAACAGCGGTGCTGGCGCTGCATGGAAAACGAAAAGTGGCCTAAGAAAGCTGTTCTCGCCCCCCCCCCCCCCAACAATATTTCGTAATTCCCGCGTGCCCACGAGGTGAGGTTCAGTACCTGGCCCAGCAACAGCCAACAAAGACTCCCAGACGACAGAGGAGGAGGCGGAGAGGCCAGAGACTGAACTGATAGCAGGGGAGGATGGGGTGACCTGTCGGCATACCAGGCGGAGAGGCCAGAGGCTGAACTGACAACAGGGGAAGATGGGGTGGCCTGTTGGCATAGACGAGGCGATGTTTGATTGCTGGCCTAGGGACTCGGAAACGGTGATACTTGGCGACTAACCGGTGGTGGAGGGAAAGGCTTGACTTCTAACCTGACGGCGGGCGAGTCTTAGCGTCTCTCAGGGAGGGGGGAGGGGGGGGGGGTGAGTCCGACTGGTGACCTGCCAGAAGACGGACGAGGCCTGTCTGCTGACATGGCGGTAGGAAACGGGCGAAGCTGATTCGGTGAAAGAGATGTGAAAATGCTGTTCAGCGGGCAACGCTGACCACTTAGTGTTGCAATGTCCGAGCCCGACAGTAGTGTTAGCTGTTGTATGCATCGTCAAATACGCATTTAAGCTAGAACCACGCAGGAAGCATAAACCAGGAGACGCGTTTGGTTATCGTGCCGTGGCAAGAAAGGGATGCTGTAATACCGTGGCAAGAGAGGTATGCTGTAACATTCAAACCAAGGTCTGATCACAACCGATGCATGGTCTGACCGTGATCGTCCTATCACGTGCCGTTTGTCGTTATGGAATGCATCTTTTAACTCATAGCAGAAGCATTCATTTGCTGCAGGTGCTAACTACGCTGATAAAAATGAGCTGTGAACAGAAGTCACCGCCAGTTGCAAGACTTCCCTCCATAATCCGACCAGCATTCTCTGAGGACGTGATCTGGCGATCACGACTGATGCCCATTATAGTAGATCCCTCGGTGCTCATCTTCTTTGCAAATGTTGTTCAGATATGCTGAAGGTCACGACCATATATGATGTTCTGCAGACATCCGGTATGGTCGTTAGCCTTGTCCGTGACCTAGCTTATATGATTCGCAAGGACAGCATACTCGTCGTGCTTCGCTTCTTTGGCAATGCTGCCACTTTGCTGCCCACGGCTCAGTAGTTTTAGTGCAACCTTGTGGAGGACAAACCACCTGGTTCAAAGCTCTTTCGCAACTGACGTCCCGGTGGCATTGGCGGCCACAGTCAATCTCCATCTTCCAGGCGATGCGGAGAGAAGCGCACACGGGGATACCGACGGAATGCAGCTTTTTGGAGAAAAGAATCTGAAGCTCTAGAAAGCAGGAGAGAGGTGTGCTTATTGCTGAACCTCCTGGCGCAGATAGAAGCTTATAAGCCTCAAAACACGGCGGCTTTCTGCCCAGAGCCGTAGGTAGAACATGCTGCAAAATTAGTGGGGACATGTCAGCTTGTTAGGTTCGCCTCGTCGTGCTATGACCGACGCCTCCATGTCCATGTGCAGAACATTGGGATGGGTGCAGCGCTTCCTGCAAAATATGGAAAGATTCACTAACATCTGCTCAATGAGGTGTTATTACCAATAATCACTAGTTGCTCCTCAGTCCCCACGCGCGTGCCTATGGTTGCGTCACACTTCACAAACAATGCTGCCCACGCTTCCGCCGCGCCAGCCCACAAATCGGGTCGGCTTTTCGCTGCATGAGCTCACTGAGGGCTCATCACAGCTCGCATCATCGCAGCCGCGCCTCCGGGCCGGCCCCTGAGCCCCGCCATCCGGCTGGCGCTAACTGAGCGCGTGCCAGGCGGCGTCACGAACCCGTCGGCCGGCCGGGCGCCCGGGGGCGAGGATGGACCCGGCCGGCGAGCGCGGCACGCGGCCGCCGGCTGGCGGGGGGCGGGGGGCGGGGGGCGGATGCGGCCACGGCGCTCCCCGCTGACCGGTCCCAGTGATGTCACTGGCGGCGGCGGCGCGGTCCTCGGCCGGCGGCGGCTCCTCCGCCCCGGAGATGCGGCTGCCGGCCTGATGATGCCGCACAGTGAGTTCCCACGAAGGTTGGGCTCGGGACGTGGCGAAGAGCTGTGTTGTAGTTAACCATGCTGCAGGCGAAGGAGGCATTGCGTTGCCAATAACGATCACGGCACACATCGCCAAATTAGTCTAAACATGGCGGAGTGGTGCTAACATTGTTGAAGTTGTAAAGACTGGTATGAACATGGCTTGAAATGGTATAGTGGAAAGAAATGATTGGGCTTACAGACGAAGGGTGATGAGGAGAAGATGCTTCTAACAGATATTTGGTTTGCAGAGTGACTTACAAAGTGACATAGAGACATCGGTAGAACCCAGACCAGTCATACATTTTCCGTCACTAACGGAGCCTACGTACATATTCGCTACGTTTGAAGGCGAAATTGTTAACGCAAGCAGACAAAGCATACTTTCCCGGAATAAAAACAGATTCACGCGGAATTCATTAGGTACCAATTGCAGATATCTAAAATGCTAACACATTGCCCATAAATCAAGCTCATCAGTGAGTGGCGGTGGGAGTGGTCGGGAATGAACACCCCGTGCATTCAACGGTGGTTTGACTTAGGCACATGTCACAGACACAGTTACAAACATGATATGAAACTAAAACCGAACGCTTCCAGGTAGGAGAAATGTTTCATGAAAGGCAGGGCAGCGTGGAAAAGACCATTCTCCTCCTGAACAATGCATTAATGTCCCCTGAATCACCGGGAAGTATCATTAAGCCACAGTCTATAGCACTGCATAGCTCATGCAGCGTTCGCAATAGCAGGCGCCACAGGAGTCAGCCGATGACTGTATTTTCCCACTAATGCATTTAGTAAAGCCTCCTTGCTAAGCCTAATTGTTTTGGTGTTTTGAGATGCGATCATTTAAGGCTGCTTACTTTGCAAAATTATGCATATGTATTATTTATTCAGCAGGTGGCATTGGTTAAGATACGTGAGGCGAATCACAGAAGCAACCATCAACTTCACAATAAATGTTGTATGGCCTTGCAGATAAGCTCATATTTCATCCATCTTTACCTGATTATTCTTAACACTTCTGATGCGATCATAAAAATCGTATTATTCTAAACACTTCTGATGCGATCACCAAAATCGTATTATTTCCAACACTTCTCATGCGATCACCAAAGTCGTATTATTTTCAACACTTCTCATGCCACCACTAAAGTCGTATTTAAAGTCGTCTTAATTTCATCACCGGGAAGCACCACTCAGCCACAATCTAGAGCACTCCCTAGCCCATTCCGGATCATTACCTGTGGGTCACGCTGGCGGTTCCATACTCACAGGGAGCGGTGCATACGTGAAGTCGTGAGATAACCTGTGATCAAGTGTGGCCCTGAAAGATCGCACTTGATCTCGCCAGTCGATCAAGCAGTGAGGGCTCAGGCATACATCTAGCAAATCATATATTGATGTACATACATTGTTGATTAACTAGCAATTAGGCTCATGTCACTGCGCAGGTCGCTTGCTTCTCATCAGATCGCTTCCAGCTTCATTCCCTGCCGTGTTGTTCCCCAGGCAACACGGGAAAGGGATAGCACCAGGTGCTACCAGCTCCTTCACCACAAACCAGACCAAAAGCGGGATCAAGCCCGTGATCTGTGACTCATAACCCCGACGCTTCACCTGTCAGTGGCGTGTCCGGCCGGCTCGCCGGCTCCCCCCTGGCACCGTCCGTACCTCCTGGCGCCGCCCCTGCCGCCGGGCGGAGACGGCGCCGCCTCACGACCGCGCCGTTCCAAACAAGTCCTCTCCGCTAAGCACAAAAGCCGGCTTTGGCCACGAGGCAGAGGGGGCGCTGTGATGATTGAACTTTGCCGGATGCTTCCGTGGCGACTCCAGCGTCCCTGGTGGTGGGTTGGAGGCCAGTCGGGGCGAAGCTGACGGGGTGGAGGGTGGTGCTCGCGGCTGGTACAGCTTCCCAACGGCAGCTCCTGTGAGGTGAGAGCTGAGAGTGACCGGGTGGAGCCTAGCGTCCGCGGCAGGTAGAGGTCCCGGACTCCAGCTTCCGCGAGGTGATAGTCGACGGTGACAGCGTGGAGGGTGGCGTCCACGGCAGTTTCGGACTCTAGCTCTTGTGAGTTTGGAGCCGACGGTGGCGGGGTTGAGGGTAGCGTCCACGGCAGGAAGAGCTTCGGATCCCAGCTCTTGTGAGGTTGGAGGCGACGGTGCCGAAAGACCTCGTAAGGGACGCGGACGCCCTGATCCGTTATCGAATTGGGCTGGCGTGGTATGTGAATTTACATCGGAAATGGAATGAGATACAAGGCTTTAAAGGGTGCAGTTTTGCTTTGTTTGCATGTCCTGGCGTTTACCGTCGTGCGCGAAGAAGTCCATTTACTTTGACTCAGTCGTGAGAGATGATTGCGCCATGGGAGGCGTTAACCGATGGGGCAGCAATCATGAATTACATAATATAGCACTGAGTGCCATAACATACCGGCAGAATAAAGACGCGTTGCTCAGAACCAATTGGTTTAACAAAAATCCCACCGAAGCGTCAGCTGCGCGTAATTCCTGTTCCGCGCAAACTCCGGCGTTTGTTGTTTGGGCTTCTCGAATTTGACTGAGCAGGCGAGCCAGGGGCGTGAGTCGTGCCGCACGACGTTTGGATCATCCCCCTGAGCCTGCACGTCGCATGCTGAGCCTCGCACGTCTCGCGCGCCAGAGTTGACGCAAAGCGTGATTTAGGCGCAGCTGGGATTCAGCTTGCCCGCAGCTTATAAAAACCACGCAGACTTGTCGGGCTTAGTGAGTATATATATATATATATATATATATATATATATATATATATATATATATGTATGTATGTATCTATATATCTGGCAAAAACATATATTGGACATTGGGCATTGTACACTGGAAAAATAACGCATGGTTAGTGTAACTAAGGGTTTTGGCGAACAAAACGGATATTTTCAGAGTGAGGTTTCTTCCCTGTATTTCGAGGTGGCGGGGCTACGCTCTGAAATATTACTTTTCTTCTATGTGTGAACAGCGTATCGCTCATTAGACATCTCGAGGGGCTAGCTCTGCATGTACCCTGTAGTAAACGATGGCATGCATAAATTGCTAATTTTCCTGTTCTTTCCAAATAAAAGGGTTTCCCAAGAGTTTGTTCCACTCAAAGGCCCCTGGGTGAAATCGAGTGAAAGACATGCAACCCTTAAAGCAACTTTCAAACCAAACTTAATTAAGCAATTATCCGTATGGCTAATATTACCACCGCACATGGCCAATATTACCACTGCACATGGCCAATATTACCACCGCATATGACCAATATTACCACCGCATATGACCAATATTACCACCGCACATGGCCAATATTACCACCGCATATGGCCAATATTGCCACCGCACAGGTAATATTGGTTTTATGTAGCCTGGCGCTACGGCTAAAAACACGAGGTAAATGCTATGCAGCAATCATGATGTTACCGGTTTCCCAAAGCTCCCATATGAAGAAGCCACAATCTGGTACGAAAAGTGACCCATGAAAAGCGAACTACTGGCAATAACAAGCTGCCGTAGAAGACGGGAGTCATTTGGTAATGCTCCCACTTCGAACGAACGTAATTCAACAATGTCTCTTTGCGCACCCCAGTCTCTTTTCTGTTTCAAGATATGCCCAATTAAGGCCCCCTTACCTTATTCGACTATGCATAATTGTTGCACCCCTAGGCTACATTATTTACGCATGTAGAGCGATTGAGTGAAGGGACGGTCAATGGCATGATAAATATGATCGTGTTCTGGCAGCCACACATTTTGTTATCATTTGTTTCGGCTTCATAATTCTCAACAACCCCCAAAGGATCGTCAAATCGCCGGTATAAAATGCCTTCGCATTTCCAACGCCTTTAATTTCATCACCGCGCAGTGTAATCGCTCCATATACTGTTAAAACACCATTCCGGCAACCTAGAACAATATCTAGCTTGCTTTACACTCTGCACTGTAGATATATTGATGTCCACAGCAACAAGTGCTCATGTAGTTGTGGGCGCGTGAATATGTGATGTCGCGAGGGTACTAATAATGGGGACATTCGATAACAATGGTGACAATGGTGACATTCAACTAACAATGGTAACAACTAACAATGGTGACATTCGATAAGCACAAATTCCGACGAGGTGTCCAAGCACATGGCGTTGCTGGCGTAACCTCCATAAAGCATTTGGTTTTAGAAATCTTCAAAAGCTAACATGCATCAAAACCAAATAAAATGCATATCGAGCTTCCTGTGCAGCGACAACTGGCATTTCAGGACGCAAAACACGATTTACAATGGCGATATATATATATATATATATATATATATATATATATATATATATATATATCGGGATCCGGGGTAGAACTTTGCGCTTTTTTTGTTGGCGGGCCGAAACCATGAACCTTACCCCCATCTTATTTCCCACACGCATTTCTTCACGGATTCCGCTCACTTACTTTATTGTGCGGTTATTATTTGGACTTGATATAAGAAAAAAAGGCTTTTAGCTCCCAGTTTTTCGGTAGCAGGAGTTCAAGGCCGTTATTCTGAGTTATTAACTTTCAATATACATGGAGGTACGGATTGAACGAAGTCGTGGTGCTTAACAACAGTTACATTGACCGTACTTCATATTTCGAGCTGTGCACGTGCTCAACAGCTTATCTCTTGAAGATGAGCATAGGGCAGCAGGCGGAGGTTAATTTCATAGCTGGGTTTCTTCAAAGACGTCTCAGAGCTTCCGAAAATGTGATAAAACTATTTTTCGTCTTATTTTGGTTTAAAGACGGATTATTTGCTGGAGAAAAGCCAGCCCCTACTGAGCCACAGCACCTTGTGGCTAGTGGCATAGTGGACACCGCACGTGCCCACAAAATGTGACGCTTTGAGGCAGTTCCCTCGTTCCACGAGGCTGTAAGAAGGCAGTGATTTGGAATGGCTGTGGGCTCTGCCGAAATAACTAGCCACTAAGCTAGTAGCTACTAGAGCTAGTAGCTACTAGTAGCCACTAAGCCAGTAGCTACTTGGCTAGTGCTACTAGAAAGTGCTAGATAAAGAAGATGATCCATTAAATGCTACGATGATAATGCCCCAGGACTCTCGAAATATGATTGTCTCATTTTGTATGCTTGTGATCAAGCAATGCTAAACAGCCAAGGGTGGATCCCGAAGGGGGGAGGCACGTCACCCATCTTCAGTCAGCCTCTCGAGATGTCTAGTGAGCAATACGTTGTTCACACATAGAAGAAAACTTAGTATCCAGAACATATCAATGCTACTTCCAAATACAAGGAAAAACTCGCTCTGAAATTATCTGTTTTATTAGCCAAAACCCCTGGTCAAACCACCCATGGGTTGATTTTCCAGAATATACAAGCATACAGGTTTAGCTCTTCCCAACCCGAAATGATGTTCGGAAGACCGTTGTCTTTAGCGGGATCCCTGAATGACAGCCACTTATTGGCATTTGAAGGCGCTTGCGCAAGTTTGGACAGGACACGAACATAATTCAGACATGCACTCTGCCTCCGTGCACAAGCACTACCATAAAAATTATTGCGCCAACCGCACAATCAGGTCATCCTGGAGACGGGACGTGATGTGCACAGCTGTCGGCAATTCGGCTCGCGACAGACTGGTGGTTTTCGCAATTTTGAGACGTGGATTCGGCTGTCCCGCTGCAGCGAGGACTGTTGCAGTGCCGCAGAAGAGCGTAAAATCCGCCATATACTGCCTCTGTTGCAAACTTGGATCTCTGCCATGCAAGGTGGCCTCCAAACGATTAGACGCCGAGGAATGGCGGAGGGGGGAGGGGGGGGGGGGGATTTTGGTCAGCGTCGGAGACTCGACGTAGAGGAAGGGCTGGGGGTGGGGTTGGGGGGGGGGGGGTCGGACAGCATCGCAGACTTAGTGCCAAGGAACTGGAGACGGGGTCACAGAACAAAGCCCGTAGAATAAATCATTTATTTTAGCATTTATACAGACATTTTAAAATATTTTGGTGGCGACCTTTTATAGTAGATCGACAAAAAGCTTGATAGACTACCAACGGTTCCAAGAAAGCGGCTTGCTTAAATCTTTATTTCGTCGAGTTACCAACCCACTCCATTGATTCACCGAGTACTATAGTAGACCGACATGAACTGCATGCCTCCAGCTGGCACACAGAGGTGTTTGAGGCTCGACCCCACCCAGTCGAGACCTCGTGCGGCAGGCCGGCAGATATAGGCGGCTCACGCGGAGCTAAATCCTGCCGATCCTCGTGTGACTCGCTCGCCACCGCTCGACTCGCTCGGCTCGCTTCTCTGCGTCTGCTGCTGACCACTGGCCTTGGCACGCTAGTTAATGGCCTTGCAGTGGGCTCGCCTCGCCTCGCTTGGACACCAGCCGAGACGGCGGCGAAAAACACCATTCTCTTGGGCCGGAGAGTAATCCGCACGCGCGGGAGCGAGCCGGCAGGGTCCCGACAGCCGAGGGAGTGGCGGCGGTTTTTCTGTCGGTGGAGACGGCTACCCCTCGCCGATTCGAAAGCTGGTGATGATTGGCGGCTGTGATTGGGGAAAGACTTCGAAAAGATGATAAGTTTGGAAAAGAGGATTAATGAAGCAGCAGCTGGGTATGGCAGCGAGAGATGACGTGATTGATTCATGCGGATGGATGCGACGTTTTGGCGCCTCCGTGATGCTGGCAGATAGGCTTTGCCGGCAGAGCAGTGTTTCAAAAAGTGACGTTCATCAATAGTCATTTACGTGCATCCAAAATGTGGTGAAAAAGTCGGCTTAAGCACTGAACGCACGTCTGTGCTTGCATTTGTGATGCTGACAGCTGTCTTCGTGTTTCGTCACTTTGTCGTACAGTTTGTTCATGAGGTGTTCTCCTTTTCAGAACACTTCGACCTTACCTGACCTTACTTAGGTCAGCTTCCGGCGCCTTTGGGTCGCCACAGCGGAGGCCATGCGCCCACGTGAGTGACCTTAGGACATCGCGGGACTGCCAGAGCCAGGTGCTCCCGGTCGTTTGGAGCGCTGCTGGCGACCAACCAACGTAAAGCGATTGTTTATGACCATGGTGGCGTTAAAATTTCAGCGCCGATGTTTGACACGAGCTCGTTTGTTGTTAACACAAAGGCTGTTGCACGTTTCAAATTATACCGGCCATTCAAAGCTGCGACTGAATTAGGCCTTATCTCGTGCGCAATCGCACGATAACGAAGACGTCATGAAGCCGTGGGCACTGCGCCATGCCTGCCATCTCGTGGCCGACCTGATCAACTGGGTGTCATGCCTGCCATCTCGTGGCCGACCTGATCAACTGGGTGTCATGCCTGCCATCTCGTGGCTGACCTGATCAACTGGGTGTCATGCCTGCCATCTCGTGGCTGACCTGATCAACTGGGTGTCATGCCTGCCATCTCGTGGCCGACCTGATCAACTGGGTGTCATGCCTGCCATCTCGTGGCCGACCTGATCAACTGGGTGTCATGCCTGCCATCTCGTGGCCGACCCGATCAACTGGGTGTCATGCCTGCCATCTCGTGGCTGACCCGATCAACTGGTTTCAGGCATCGCACCGGCGATGTGGGGCGCCACGCTCTTGGTCGTTCTGCTGCTTCTGAGCGTCACTCCAGGCCTCACGGTACAGAAAGGTACGCTACTGTATAGATCACATTTGAGGGATTATTGAGAATCGTTAGCCGTTATCTGTCAGAATTTGTTGTCGTCTGTTGGCTAGGGTGGCGAGGTCACCTCAATAAGAGCGGTTGTTGTCAGTAATGCCGTGTGTCGCTCGGACGTTTCAATGTTTTATGAATTTGTGTGACGGGGCGTAGTCGCTGAACGCAACGGTGAAGCCTGCTTTATATCTAGTGGAATAAACATCCAATCGAGCAGAAATGAGAATCCTGTCCACATGGAACCCAGACTTTAGGTTTTGATCAAGGATAATGCTCTCGGCTATTTCGGCAAACATCAAATAAAAATAAAAATTAGTTTCTCATTTTGTTCATTAACCTTATCTAAGCATTTTGTTACATAATTACAGTACAACCGTACTCTTCTCACACTTCGGTTCCCATAAATTGCCACACTACCGATGTCACAGGCCAAGGTCAAAGCAGAGGGTGCTGCAGCCGAGTCAGGGGCACAATAAATCATGGCGGACCTGCCCCCTTCCCGTGGCGATGGTCGTTTTTGCTGACACCGCGTCGCGTGTTGTCAGACTGTGAGGGACCCCCGAAAGGTCACGAGGTCATCTGCTACACGGAAGGATGGGCAGACGCCGACGACCTCCAGACATGCAGCTGTTCTCACCTCGTGCTGCCCGGCCTGAAGCTGGACGACGACTTCGGCATCGTCGGTAAGTTCGGGATCAATGGTGCGTTCACTTCTAGGCAATTCACGCATCACCTGAACGCTTTTAAAATGGTTCGGCGTTGCACTGCATTGGTGTGAAGATACAGACACATCGCATTCGAGCTCAGGTATGTGGAGCCGACATGAGCCTGCTTACCTGCCGCATTCAACGCGTCAATCCGCCGAAACTGCGAAAGCACGAGGCAATCGCTCACACAAACCCGGGCGGCATTCCGCGGCCAGTATCAGCCAGCATCACCAGCATCACTACATACGGCATCCTCGCCCCCTCGGAGCGCGTTGCGTCATCGCATGACATCACCGCGTGCTTACACGGGCCGCAGCGGTCGGGCGCAGCCTTAAGCAGTCGCCAAGGTCCGAGCGGCGCCGGCTGGCGGAGGCAGCCTCTCGTTATGGTCGGCCGCGAGCGGGCCGGCCGCGCCGTCGGCGGGCGACAGCACCTCATGTCAGCTCCTGTGTCCGCGCCGCGGCTAAGCCTGTCCTGAACGTGACGCCGGGTTCAGCGGCGCCGCTGCCGGTCCGAGGCCTCCTCGGACGTCCCCGCCGCGGGGGGGTCGCGGCCGCTTGCGCCGCCTCGGGCTCAGTGGAGGGCGGTGTTGAAGGATAGCGTGGGTTATGATTTGGCGGCGCAGCTCGCGGATCAGATTACGTGATAGCTTATTTGACGGCCGGCAGACGATGTAGTAGGATGAGCGTGCGTGCATAGCTCAAGGTGGACAGCTGACGGTGCAAGCTGCTCATTCAGAAGCAGGTCTGCGAGTACGTGCCGGCGTGATGGGCCTCGTGCCGCGAGAGCGAGGTGCTGCCAGCTGAAGGGGGCTCCTGTGAGTCATTTACAATCACGGGGGTGCTTTTGTTAAGCTAGATCTTTGGGAGGACAGCACAGGATGCGCATTTTTTACTTCAACGCTCACACCTTGCGCTTTTCATCCGGTAAAAAGCCTGGGAAAATGATCAGACTTTTTTGTTGCTGCGCCACGATCGGTCGCGTGTATCTCATGTTGTTAAAAGAGATTATAAAGATCAAAATTGCCCCGGGTTATGCCGTTGCATGAAAAGATAACAGTCAAAGTTCTCAGTCACAAACTGGAAATGATGGTGGAAGTACTGGTAGAGATGAGTCGACGTAAGAAGTCACAATCCTTGATCTCGAGCCTTTGTGGCAAAATTTCCTTTACGATGCCCGTACAACACAGCAGCGTGAGAGTTCGCCGACCGCAGGAGGGTCGACTACGTGAACCTCTCTCCTTGTCAACGATGACGCACGTTATTCACACCAGTCAGCCGCAGCAGCGCTGCTTGCACAGGTGTTGCCCGCACCGCCGGCTCACGGTTTCTGACGGAGCGGGGGTTAGTCTGTTGTGCGGGAATGCATTCTCCCGTCGGTTGCCTGGATCCGCTGCTGCGTGCGCTGCAGTCTCCCCGCACGGGTCGGCCTGGCGGTCCCCGACCTTGTGGCGCCGCGGCGTTCGGGCGTGGGATTTCATGCGGCGGGTATGCCGCTTATGTGTTTTGCACGTGCCCATCGGACCACGGGCAGGGAGCTCCGGGCGTTTAGCACGTGCCGCGCGTGTGCCAGAGTATTACCGCGTCCTACAGATGTCGCATGGCTCAGCCGGGTATTTTTCCTGGGCAGGTTAGCGTTAGGACAGTGATGTGGCTTCGCACAGATGCACTGGCACAACGTGGTCCTCCGTAGGCGGTGTAATTCGGAGGGCATGGCAGGGACGGGGGGCGTCGCCGGGGTGTAACTGCAGTTCTCTTAAGGTCGAGGGTGTCACAGCAGGTTACAGTCGTCTCTCCTCATTTTCCCGGACATGCAGGCAAACATGAATTCATTACAAAGGAGAAGAGAATCTTTATTGAAAGTTGCAATTACTTGCTCAGGATGGGCTCTTACTTATGTGCGTGACTTCATCTATCAGTAATGCACAATCAAACTAAGCGTGAGGGTATATGTTTGATATGGGCCTAGTTCGCGTCTTTGGCGCACGGACAGTTAGAGACTGTCGCTGCGACAGATCCAAAAAAGATCCTGATTTCATGGCCATTGGCCTGCTGCATAGGTGCCATGAACCGTGGACTCCGTAGTGGCATAAACGAATCCGTGAAGTGGGCCACTGTAATTCAGTCTTTCAGCTGTTCCCCGTCCTTCCTTATATGTTCCGGCGCCACCACCAACTTTCACTCCGTTACAGTGTTAGCTTAGCGGATAAACTCGTGCTGTTTGTTGGCCGTCATGAGAAAATTTATAACGGACGTACTTAACCTTCTCCATCTAAAAATTGAAGGGTGTAAGTATCATGAAAGTGGGGCTAAATCCTTTTTGCTTCTCGATTAATCTCATGAGCGGCCAAACAAAAGCGTTTTTGTGTGTTTTGTGAGCAACGATGCATTGTCTGAGGCTTGCTGGACACCTCTCTCCAGCTGGCTGGTTTTATAACGCCTGCCGACGTGACTTATCCGAATGGTCGTTTATCTCGCAAGAGCATAACGGACACCAGGTGGGTCAGATAAAACTGACCCCACGTGTGCTAAGCATTTCGGCTGTAAAGCCCGATCTCGCCGCCCAAGCATCCGCCCTTCAAACGCTATGTGCAAGGGCAACATAAGGACAGGGACGGTCTAAGAGAGCGGATGACAAGATGTGTTACTCTTTCAAGCCACGGCTAAAACGCAATGTCATACCTGCGGATGAAAGATATACTGAAAGATCTCTGCTCGTTACCCGACTTCTGAGGCCGTGCCACGCTCGTGACCGTCAGTATCTGACCATAACCCGGAGGCAAATGTCGGTCGCCGGCTGAAAAATATCGGTCGCTGGCTGGCAAATGTCGGAGACAAATGTCGGAGACAAATGTCGAAGTCAAATGTCGGAGACAAATGTCGGAGACAAATGTCGGAGTCAAATGTCGGAGACAAATGTCGGAGACAAATGTCGGAGACAAATGTCGGCTGCGGCCCGCTACGGCATCAAGTCCCGCCATCCGCACTCAGTGCGCAAACGACATAAACCGTACCGCGCGGTGGCGTCAGCACCGGCGCTGCGCAGGCGCGAAGGCGACTCTCTTTCGGCCGTGAAAACTGGACAGCTGTCCAGTGCGGACCCCGGGTCAAGGCCACCGCGGTGTCAGTGCTGGGTGGTCTGCTCCGGCCGGATAGAACATCAATAGCCCGCGGGGTCCTTAGCGCCGGCTGGACGATTTATTTCTGGTGGCTTAAGGCCCACTTGAGCCAATGTCAGTCTGGTCACGGTGTGGCGAGTTGGGATTGAGGACAGCGGCTGCTACTCGATGTGCACCGAATTCGCTGGTGCAGCGTAGTAAGTGGCCTTGACGCGATGCACACAGCAGACATTCCATGAGTTCACTCATTCATAGGGATTACATGGGATTACGGCATTCAGCTCTGGTTTTCGGGATCACCATTGATATGCTCTGAAAAATTGGTTGATGTTCTCAGAAAACGGCTTGCGTTTACAGAGATAGCCACGTAGCGCAGGAGATTAGAGCATTTTACCGTCTTGCGCTATTTACATTACTCAGCAGAACCGATAACTAAAGAATGTCTTTTCCAGCGATTACTTAGTGGCGTTTGCGGCAGATAGTTTAAGATAATGGTGATCACTTGTAATAGCTTTGCAACCTTCACAAAACAATGCATATGCCTGACGAAAATGTGCACTGGTTAGCAGTGAAACGACTGAAGACAATGTCTCTGTTATGGCACGAACCCTTAGATGCGATTTGTTAGCCCGTCTCCCAAATTTCGGAAGCAAATATTTCAAGAGGCACACAATTCTGGCTCACAGAAATTGCATCTCAACGCTAGGTTAGAATCGCTTACCTTACGTCTGGCATGCATGCCTTTCTATTGCCAGGAATGACATCAGCAATCCAGTGTTTACTTTTGATTGAGGATAGATAGTGGTCAACAGTTGTAACGTTAATATTTGGTTGCACGACATGTATTTGGCCTAACTTGATAACTACGATAATTGACGTCCGTTTGTCAACAAAGTGACTCTTTGCCCTAACAAGTTGTTTATGTCCTGTAGCTGCTGAGAGAAGTACCCATGAACAGGTTTCAAAAATACCCCAAAATGTATATAATTTTCAACCATCTACCCACGGAGTCAACGACCCCATGATTGGTGTGGAATAAGAAATACTTGTCGCTTGGTTATTTGTACATCCGTCGTTCCATTCATCTCTTCTATCTTAAACCTATTCTTAACCATTTGTCATGCAAAGAAAAATACCATCGGCAAACCAGTCTTGGGTTAACTACTTGCGTTCTGGGCAATCATGATGTGTCATGCCTGAAACATTGCATGAGTAGTGAACAATTTAGGATTCAAGCAGTTGTGAGCGCACTAATACCATTCGGAGTGCATATTTGCACGTTGAAGATACCGCTGCATCTTGACAAGTACATAAGACTCCGCAGGTGAGTTATCTAAACAGATTTGGCGGATTAAATGACGGTTAGGGCATTTTTTCGCACTTTGTAGCCACCATGCGACCACATGTACTTCCTTTCCAGCTCAACCTGTTTTCTTCTGACATTTCAGACGCAATATCATTACCGGGTTGTGGGAATTGTTAGGCGGTTTTTTCAACATGGTACGATCATATTCACCTGCTAATAGTCACTAAATCCTTATGGCGATGGTGTGATGTTTGAGAAATGTTAAGTTACTGCAATGACGGTAAGGCTATTTAGTTCTTACATCGCTGAACGTATGATATCTGTGCAAGTTCACAAATGCTCTTAACCCGACAGTAAAAAGCCGGGTGCACTAGACGCTTAGTGCAGAGTCGGATTTAATTCTAAGTTGATGCACGTCGGCTTCGGCCACGATGCTCAAGTATTTCTGTGTCTTTGATGTGCGTAATAGCAGGCATTGATAACTAAAGAGAACATCACAACGCACCAGCGCATCTGTATCGGGCAATGCATTTATTAGGTAGTGAACATTGA